CAGTTTATACTCATCCCTTCCAAATTCATTTTGAGTGCCCTGCTTAAAGGTAGGAGGTAAGGACATGCAGAGAAGGACAAATACCAAAGAAGGGTTCACAATGATGAGAAAACAAGGAAATGTGCTGGGCACGAGGGAGAAGATGGAGTGACTCAACATCTGATGACTCCATTGGTCCGTGTCTAGTGTTTAGAGAACACGACATAGTGAACAAAACCAAATATAGTAGATCTCCAACTGGTTCCTTGTGATCTGGCAAGGCCTGGCTAATTGATTCTTTTCCAAGGGACTGCAGAGTCTGGGAATTTCCTAATTCAATAGTAGATTTTCAGAGGTGTCTTGACCTTGCTTATTTGTTCGTCCTTGGACATGGCTCTAACTTAAAATGCTATATGGGCCTTGCTTGTTCCTAGGATCATATTTTCACAGAGTAGAAAGGAGCTTTTGAGGGTCATGCTGTTCTACCTTCTGATTAAAGACTTTCCCTTATAAGACTGTGTTTGGTTTTTGCCCGAACATTCCTCCACATACTGAAAACTAACCGATTCAGGGGTGTATCACTACATCTGTCTTTGTACAGTAAGTTCTCAAATTAATACCACAATGCTGGGTAGACACGATCTGTCACCGTTATCTCCAAGTCGTACTTGGTACTTGTAGCTTATCAATTTGACCTGTCTGAAAGCACCTAGCATCGAGCTTGTAACAGACACATCTGTTAATTTCTACTTTAACAAAATGGGTACAAAATGGCTCTTAATAGACAACAATTTTTTGACATCAAATGAACTCTAAGAATATGAAAGCATTTTAAATTAGAAAGTCTCATTCCTTCCAAAGACCTGCTTTTACGTGCATTTAGAATATCTATCCTTTTCCTTCTTGACATTTTAACTTCCTAAACACTATACATTTATTTGTAGAAGCACCCTGTTTCAGGAAAAATAACGTGTTCCTTTTATTCATGTGAAGTGCCAAGAACCTTGAGAGAACGAAACAATCAGTCCTCCCTGTGTTTTCTGTAGCTCTCCTTTGGACAGCGCTCAAGCACAGGCTGATTGGCTACAAAGCCACAGGGATTTGATGAAGCAAAGCGTTCTGTAGCAATACAGAATCCAGCTGCTTCTGTCTCCAGGGAAGTATAAGGTATGACCTTGATTGGTCTCTCTCAGGTATGCTTAGTTGCCTAGCAAACCTCAGAAGCCCAAGGAAAAAGGCATAAGCCTTTACTGATTTATATTTTGAAGCTTTCATTACCATAATGTGCTGTGGTGCAAATTGAATATCTTTACAAAAAGCTTGGAACAGCATGGGATTTTCTACTACCATAGCTTACTGACATGTTCCAAGCAATTTTATCAGTTCCTGTATTTGCAAATATAACAAAATGCTATGATACACAATAGGTTGGTGCTTCTTCTAAAGCACTAAGTACACAGGATATTTTAAATTTGAAAGATGAGTTCATGATGAGTAAGTTTGAAATAGCCATCAAAAATCCTTTTTTATTCTAGGATAATAATTTTTATTTCTGAAAGTATAAAAATACATTAAAGAAAGAGGATTCATCAATAATAACATTTCTAAAAGTCTGTACTCATCGATTCACATGCAGATAAGACCGCTGCAGGTAAGGACCTTGATGGATAAATAAATAAACATTTTCTAAAAATGTGTGCATCACTTGTTGCACTAGCGAATAATGCAAATACATGTCTAGAAACAGAAACTCTACTCCCTCTCACGCTGGTTAACACGCCCGGATCATTCATTCAGGGAATATTCTAGGTACGATTTTAAGCTCTTGATTCCTTGTTTTTTTCCTTTCTCTTCATAATATAAATATGATGAGCTAAGCCACCTATTTAATGAAAACCACACTTATTGGGAAACGAGGCATTTTAATTATCTTTAAAAATCATGAAAAATCTCAGTCAGGTTTCATTTAATACAAAGTTAAACCAGCAATTTAGAAAACTAATCATTACCAACTACCACTGACAATAAATAATGAGCTAAGACATTTCAAAAACTCTGTGGACATCATAAAATATGTCTATTTTTTTCAATGGGAAAAATAATTTCTGTTGGTCACAACACAAAAGTCTTTACTAGTTAGCTGAAGTATTGCCTGATTGAGCTCACAGTCTGAACTAAAGTTATTTTAAATTTAAAACTTATTTGTTAGGGAATACATATGATACCAACAGAGATAAAAAGCAATAAATATGAAAATTTATCCATCATTCTAACAGTTCAACAAATGAAGTCAGTATCAGTTTCTAGGGCACCTTACCATTTTTTGCCCTTATAACATCAGACTGCTCCTGCATGTTATAGGTGCCCTGCTATACCTATACCTATAGGTACAGGTAAAATCTGGGCTCTGCTTCTCTTAGTACTATCTCAGTAGCATTCACCCATTGCCAGAAAGTCTTCATAAGTATCATGAAGAAGGACTAATTGTGTATGTTACCACAACCGAATGTATCATTTCCCCTCTCTTAGACCTGGTACCTTCTTTTCCCCCACCCCCAACCCATGTTATTTGGCGCTACCATCAAGCGCCCACATTTTCATTTCATGCATCTTTCCCTTTTATTTGTGATGCTTCTCCCTTCAGATAAATGATCTGAAGTACAGACTTACAGATATGGGTATTATGGCTCTTATATTTCCAAAGTGCTTCCTAAATTTCACTACCGCCAGCAGCAATGTATGTACCTATGATTTGCACTGTGACCTTCACCAGCACTTAAGTATTTTTCATTGGACAGAGGAGCACTAATTTCATGAAGATGAAATTTTTGTGATTTCATACTAATGAAATCTCATTGTTTTCATTGGCATCATTACTATTGTTGTTAAATGTGTGAAAATAATTGCTAATCATATTTTCTATTATGTAGATTTTCTAAAGGGTGTATCTTAGTATTTCTCTAAAAAATACACATTTTCTAAAACTCCTTCTAGAAAATAACCCTATTCAATATTAACTACAAATATTTTTCCAACACAGTTTTACTTTTACTTGCGTATGTTTGGCATATCTGTTACTTTATTTTCAAATTCTAATCCTCCAACCATTTATCAAATCCCCCTTCCCTTTCCCATTGTTCTATGATACTCTATTTTTATATTCTTATATATATATATATATATTTAATTCTTGTATATAGCATGATTTTCTATTATTTCTTAGATCTAGCCAATACCAAAAACTTTGAATTTTATAATTTTAGATTATGATTTCATATGTGGAATGGCTTCTCAACATTTATGGCTTCTTTTTAAAAATATTCCTTTATTCTCATTAGCTTATTTTTCCAAATATATTTTTATCATTCTATCACCTTCTAAGAAAAGTCAGTTGAGAATTTTTTGGAGCTCATACTATTTTATTTATAAATAATGTAAAAAGCCTTAATAGCTTTATTTATCATAATAACCAGAAAGATACACTTTCTTCTCTTATTCAAGCATTCTCTTATAACTCATAATGAGTAGTACTTTAAAGGTATGTCCAATATTATATAATTAAGGGGCAGAATGAGATAATTAAAAAGTTGAAGACTATGGAGTAGAACAAGTATATTTATCTCTAGGCTCAAATACTGTGTGGTCTTGGGCAAGATGTTTAGCCTTTCTGAGTCTCTGTAAACTGCAGGGAGTGGTACTTCAAGGATTACTATATAGAGAACTATTGTAACATACCATGTACCCAGGAAGTGATAGCTCTGATCATAATTTTATCATAACGTGTGTACTTGACATTTCGCAATGTTCTTTCCTGTGAAATATGTCACCTGTCTGTGGATCGTCACAAAACCCTGTTAGGTGGTAATGCCTTTGTTATTATCACTATTAAGACAAAATTGGTAAAAATATTGCTTTTGAATAAAAAACAATATGATATGATCAAATAAGATCATATCATATCATTACAACATATGTAAATGTATTTGTAGATCAGCTAGTAGCACACGCTAACCTTGTCCCTAAATATTTTATGATTTTCTCTGCTGTAACAGTTGTAATTGCCCCTTCACTATAATTTCTATCATTTTGGCTTGCTTACAGGAAGGCTGTTGATTTTAGTATGTTTGTTTCATGTTCAACAGTTTTATTGAGTTCCTTATCAACCCCTTCAAAATATGATTAATTCTTCTGGTTTTCTGGGTTGTCATATTTCCAAAATAAACTTTATATTATAGAATCATATATCAATATAATCAATTACTTAGTTGAAAAAAATATTAAAAACTATAGTTACCTATCATGATATCATGACACACTACAATCTTTCTGTTGGAGACATACATTCAAGAAGATTACTCTAGTCATTACTAGGAAGTTTTCTTTAGTATGTAGACTATTATTTCATGAACTTTTCTCATCCTTCATTCTAACCTCATAATACTTTGGTAGGAAGGGATGCTGTTACAGTGTTGTAAAAAAAAAGGAGTCAATGAGAAATCATACCTTTTTTCTTTCTTCTTTGTGGGCTTTAAATATTATTCTTGGGGACGAGAGAATAAAAGGATCAGTAGGAAAGAGGTAGGAACCGACTGCGCTGGCACACTTGGGAGAGTTTTGCCACTTTTTACAAATCTCTTAATGCAAGGCTGGCCAAGCTCTTTCTCATCCTGACCTAGACCTTCAACTCCCAAATACATCCCTTTTTTCCCCTCCCAGAATATCCAGAATATTGTTTCAGGCTGTGGGAGGATAAATTGTGTTGAGCCTGTACTAGTCTTTTCCCACCTATTCCCAGAGTGGTGCTTCCTTTGAAAAGTAATAAATAATAATAATACTAATGCCACTTTTTCATTGCATTAGCTGACGAATACAACTGATTAATCCACTGCCAAAAGCAGCCTAAATAGAGGAATCCACTGTTGCCTCCAACATATTTCATTTTTGAAAAAATGATACAGATGGTGCAATTATTTCCCCTGTAGAACCAGAAAATCAGCTTCAGGGATGGCACCCGTACTCACGGGGAAAATGACTAGAGGTGGACGGGTTGACACTGTCCCCGCTGTCGGCACTTTCGCTGCTGGACACTTCATCGTCTGATTCCCGCACGGAGGAGCAGGGTGAGGAGCCGTCAACTTCTTCAAACTTCCTCTTTAAAATCCCACTCATAGCTGCGGCGCTGTCACATGTACCTGTAACAGGAACAGGAGCAACGGAGCATTGAAATGTTTGACCGCTGGATGTGTAGCCAAGGTCTCCAGAGTCATTTTTTATGTGGCTTTTGTACATGAGCTGAGCTTTACCTTGAAAGGATCACTAACCAATTTTTCTCAAAAATATTTTCAAGCAGCACAAATTACTTTAGATTAAATATGAGCATGGACCATTTTGGTTACCACAATGTATCATTTTTTGACATGGTTCATCTTGTTGTGATACCTTTATTCATTTTTGTTGACAAGTTAAAAAAAAACACACAAAAAACCTGCCCTGGCTGGTGTGGCTCAGTGGATGGAGTGCCGGCCTGTGAACCAAAGGGTCACCGGTTCCATTCCCAGTCAGGGCACACGCCTGGGTTGTGGTCCAGGTCCCTAGTAGGGGTTGCGTGAGAGGCAACCTCACATTTATGTTTCTCTCCCTCTCTTTCTCACTCCCTGCCCTTCTGTCTAAAAATAAATAAATAAAATCTTTAAAAAAACACTGAGTCCATAAAATTCTGTAATGAAAATAAATGCCAATGTTCCCCAAAGTCCTAAATGACTCCTGCTTATAAAAATGTCATCTGGAAAAAAACACAGATAAGTATGCAACAAAAATCATACTCAAGTTTTAAAATGTAAGAACCCTAATTAGCTGAGCACAGTAAAGCGTATGAAATCAGTTCTAAATTTTAGGTGTTTCCATTTCAGTGCTGCAGACGCACAATAAGGTGCAATGTGTGCGCCCCAGGATACCTAGTTAGTTGCTGAAGCTCTCTACCTGGCAGATAACGCTGAGTGGGAAGATGAGTGGGGAGAGGGCATGGTTTCTCCCAAATCCCTTCTGTAGGATGAATGGGCTCTCCCTTCTCCTTGGGCTTTCTCCACCTTCCCCACTTACCCTGACATGCGCACAGTCAGCTGAAGAACATAAACTTTCCTTGCAGTGTACAGATATTATGAGGAAAACCTATTAATAAATTAGCTTAGATATATGGCCTTGTTTTTACATCAATAAATTAGATTCTTAGCTGAAAGCGTTACTAAGTCGATTCCATGCATTCCATCTTCCAACTCATTTGTCAGCTTGTTTGACTCTCAATTGAGCTCTTGAACCCATTTTCTCCTTTACCTGCCAAAGCATAGCCACCAATCTTTCGATCAGGAGGAAGCAAGACACAACTATTCTGATGCCCACTTAATTACATGACCTAGATACTTCCCTTAACAATCTCTGAAATCACCCCTTCTCTGCACAGATCACAGAGCAAGTAGCTTGCCCAGATCCCCTTAGCTGGGCCAGCTCTCTCCAAGGTCTAATGCAGTCATTTCTTTTTTTTCAAAGTGGGCTACTTAGATGAGCAGAGTCTGCATCATCTGGGAGGGAAACTGTTAGAAATGCAAATTCCCAGGCCCTTCTCCAGATTGCCTGAATCGGACACTCCTGACAGTAAGGCTAGCACTCTGCTTCATGAAGCCGTCTAGATGATCTTGATGAACACTCAAATTGGAAGACCTCTTGTTTAATTTCTAGTCTGCTCTCCAGCAGCTTCTCTCTGGATTTTTCCTTTCTTGAGTATGACCATATACTAGCCCGAGAGAGTTGCACAACCCAGCACTCAATTCTTAGTCAAAATCTCCTCTTTGGTGGTCTTTGGTGTGATTTCTAATAAAGTTAAATATAGTACAAGATGTCTCTTAAGTCTTTAATTTCAATTTACTCTGCTCATCTAAGCATGTGGTGAGGAACTGGTATGCAAAGTCTGTCTGGAAAAAGTCCAACCATTGTTAATATAATGAGAATGGTTTGCATGACATTGATGTAACCTGGCAGCCAAGGAGAGTGGACTGGAATATGCATGTGTGAACAATGACGACTTCACTGTACTAATCAGTGGGGGTAGTAGATGCCACTGAGTGAGCATGTGTGCTGTGTGGCCACTGTAGTCAAAATGACTGAGTGTGTAGAGCAATGAATCGCATCAAAGTTTGCATTAAGCTTGAACATTCCTCTGTGAAAACCATTCAGCTGATTCAGAAGGCTGCAGCTATGGGTGACTGGTGATGGGTAGTTTCATCACAACAATGTGCCTGCTCGTGCATCACATCTTGTGCAGAGTTTTTTGGTTAAAACATCAAATCACCCAGGTAACTCAGCTCCCCTACAGCCCAGATTTGGTGCCCTGCAACTTCTAGCTTTTCCCAAAATTAAAGTCACCTTTAAAAGGGAAGAGATTTCAGACCATCAATGAGATTCAGGAAAATGCGATGGGGTAGCTGATGGTAACTGGGAGAACTGTATGAGGTACCAAGGTGCCTGCTTTGAAAGGGACTGAGGTGTCATTGTTCTATGTACAATGTTTCTTGTATCTTGTGTCTTCTTCAATAAATGTCTTTATTTTTCATATTACATAGCTGGATACTTTCTGAAAAGACCTGATACATATGCTTGACTCCTTGGGTGGAGTAGGGGATATAAAAGGGAGTAGAACATGTTACCTGCCCTCAAGGAGCAAACATCCATTATTGTGGGCTCCAATAACTTGAGAACACTCCCAAGTTCATGTTGGACTGCCTATTTTAGTATCCATGTCTTTGTGCCCTTGTATTAACAATGGAGAAAACTGATAGCAATAAGAAGATGTTGCACTGTCCACTCTTTTGAGGATAAAATCTTTATTCTGACTCTGATTTTACCACTATTCAGATTAGCATATTATTTCCTCCATCTAAGAGTGTGAAATGCATAAAGTGTTCATGCATATCTGAGCACGACAAAGAGAAAGATATTTTAAGTAAGTTCTTGAAATAAAAGTAGGACGGAATATAAATTTTAAAATGGTTCACTTCAAACAAGATGCAAAGTAATTCATGAGGGAGAAACTCTGAGACACAAAGTAATACAAGATGGAAACCTATTTTTCAAAAAGTACATTTTAAAATAAAATATTGCAATGGGAACAGTTAAAGACCATGTCCTTAAGCTCTGCTCCCATCCCACCTCCCCCCAGCTTCCTTAGGGAAGGCAGATTTCTCAAGAATGAAAGATGCGCTGTTGATCCACGGGGAACCATGTTACAATATGGTAAACGGTGGTACTTGGTACTTTTCCTTTCTCACTTCCTCAAGAATAAGAGGAGAAACCGTTGGAGTAATGATAAAAGAATTAAAAGTCTTTCCCTTTGCTATTACATTTGGAACAAGAAAGACTTGAAACAATGGAGCTGAAGGTTGGATATAGTTTCCGTGTGCATTTTTGGGACTGAAAGAGCCTGAGATAGACCCAGGTCAGTGAAAAGAAGGAACTTACCAGTTAGAGTAGAATTAATACCTATGCTTGAAATTAAGATATTAAATAATTACAGGAGGGCATAACGGCAACATATACCCATAAAACTGGTTAGGTGATAAATTGCTTGTGCAGCAACCAAGCATAACGCCTGTCCAGTTTTACAGACTTTAAAAAATGTGAGTGTAAAAGATGGCATAACAAATTATAGGGTCAGATGACCCACTGTTTACCAGTCTGTACCCTTGATCTAGACCTAACAGTGGAGTGGTAAAAAGAGCACTTGGTTTTTGCTTATATAGGAGATCTATGCAATCTCACTTGGGAAGTAAAGAATACAAGAATTTAGGCAGAAGATAAAGCTGGGTCAGTATTCACTTATTCTAAATCTGAATAGCTGAGAATGTAAACCTGGATAACAGCCATTTTCACACAGTTACTGTTTTCCAATTCATGAAATGCATGCTCGTCAAGGGCATCACCATTTCTCACTTGGACTAGGACAAAAGCTTCCTCATTATTCTCTCCCAACCACTACTGTAGCTTCCAATGAGTTTTCCAGGTTGCCGACAGAATGACAAATTTAAAATGCAAATCTGATCATGACAGTCTGTAGTTTAAAACTCTTAAGTGGCTTTGAATTGCCTTAGGATAAAGTTCAAAATCCTCAAAATGGCTTATTAAGTCCTTAGCAGTCTATTTTGGCTAACCTCCTCATCTTCATTTTGAGCCACTAACCTTGCTGTCAATATTTTAGCTCTAATAATCTTTCAGTTTCTCCACCCTGTCATTTCTCTCTGGCCTCTAAGCCTTTTGATATACTGTTCCTGTTGGTTCATTTTTTAAATTTCTTTTCCCATAGCACTTACCACCTTCTGAATTCACATTATTTATATATGTATTCGCACAGAAAAACAAGTTTATTACTTATTGTTTTCATCCACAGCTAAAATAATTAGGGGATCTAGACAAATGCCTTATATATAATAGATGTGTAATAAATATTTGTAAATGAAGCCCTTTCATTTCCATACTTTAATTACTTTATCAGTGTCTGTTTTCTCTGCTGGACTGAAGCCTCCACGAAGCAGAAATCATGTTCATCTCATTCACCACTCTCTCCTGACTAACAAAATATCTGGTGTATCTGGTTGAATGAGAATCAAAACGAGAAAGGAAATTGACCTCAAAATGTCATACTTTTTTTTTTTTGCTTGCAAGCAACCCAAAGGCCAATTCTAGCTAACTTAAGCACAAAGACATCTGTTGGAAAAATGCTGGACTAGTTCATGCAATCTGAGAGAGCTAAATCCCCAATTGAGGAAATGTATGAATAAGGACAGTTTCTAGGATTATGGCTGTAGAAATTCCTTGATCTATTCTCTAGAGCGCTACTGTTACCAAGTTTAAACCCAGCAACAGCTCTCTGTGTCTCACATTTCAAGTTTAATGTTCCAAGGGGTGAACAACGATTTAGCCATCTTGAGTCAGGTGCCAGCCCTTTGATCATTCAACTACATGGCGAGAAGGCAGGGAGCCACCCAATTAGGGAATACTCCAGAGACTCTCACTCAGAGGCTTTGATAAATTCAATTACATTTCAAAGCCAATATTCTCGCCTTGGCTAACACGGATTTATCTTATTTTTTCATTTATTAATATGGCCCATGATTTCTTTCACTGCTTGAACAGTTGCCTTTTTTCC